GGAAGGAAGGAAGGAAGGAGAAAGGAGGGAGGGAGGGAAAGAAAGAAAGAAGGAAGGAAGGAAAAAGAAGAGATGGGAGAAGAAGGAAGGAAGGAGAAAGAAAGGAGGGGGGGAGAGGGAAGGAAGGAAGGAGAAAGGAGGGAGGGAGGGAAAGAAAGAAAGAAGGAAGGAAAAAGAAGAGAAGAGAGAAGGAAGGAAGGAGAAAGAAAGGAGGGAGGGGGAGAGAGGGAAGGAAGAATGAATGAAGGAGAAAGGAGAGGGAGGAAAGGAAGGAAAAAGAAGAGAAGGGAGAAGAAGGAAGGAAGCAGGAGATGGGGAGGGGGGAGGAAAGGAAGGAAGGAAGGAAAAAGAGAAGGGATAAGAAGAAAGGAAGGAGAAAGGGGGGAGAGGGAGGGAAGGAAGGAACAAAAAAGAAAAGAAGGGAGAAGAAGGAAAGACAAAGGAGGGAGAGGGAGGGAAGGAAGGAAAGAAAAAGAAAAGAAGGGAGAAGAAGGAAGGAGAAGGGAGGGAGGGAAAAGAGAAGGGAAAAGGAGAGTGGAAGGAGAAATAAGGCAGAGAGGGAGGGAGGGAAGGAAGGAAGGAAAAAGAAGAGACAAAGAAAGGAGAAGGGAGGGAGGGAGAAAAGAAGGAAAGAAGGAAGGAAAAAGAAGAGAAGGAAGGAAGGAAGGAAGGAAGGAAGGAAGGAAGGAAGGAAGGAAGGAAGGAAGGAAGGAAAACCATCAATTTTGCACCCTCCTTGGCAGAACATTTCAAAGGAAAACAGAAAAATGGACAGGAAACCTGCCCAGCTGCTAATGAACCCACCCTTGGTATAAGTCGGTGGGGAAACCCTTGACTAAATTGTGGCCCGACTCTCTATTTTCGCAGCACAAAGATTGCATCTCCTGGGGAAAAAAAATAATAATTATCTCTGGGATGGCTAAGAAGGGGCCCCAACTTGTTGGTATCAAGCCAATTAATTAAGACTCTGGAATTCAGGAGCCAAACCTCCAGATCTCAGCAGGGAGACTCCAGTTCTATTTTCAAAGCAAATTAATTTTTCAGAAAAGATTGAGGTCAACTTGGCTCCAGCTAATGAGCCCGGCTGCCCATCTGGACATCTTCAAGTTATAGGTGATCCTTGACTTATGGCTGCAACTGAGCCAAGGTCGTAAGTTGTCGCTATGTGAGCTGACTCCATTTTATGAGCATTGGGATGTTTGTTCGGTGAGTCTCCATGGGCGCTCAGCGGGTCACGTGGTCATTAAGTGAAGCATGTGGCTGCTAAGCAAATCCAGCATATCCAGGGGGCATTTTTGTTGTTGTTGTTGCCGTTTTCTGCTAGAAAAGGGGCAAAAGACACAAATCATGACCATGGGATAAAATCGGTCATAAATGCGAACCAGTTGCCAAGCACCAGAAATGTGATCGTGTGGAAAGTAGCCGTAACTTCGAGGACGGTTTATAAAGGCAGGTAGCCTTCGACTTACAACAGTTCATTTAATGACAATTCAAAGTTACAATGGCGCTGAAAAAAGTGACTTACGACCATTTTTGACACTTACGACCGTTGCAGCATTCTCAGGATCATGGGATCAAAATTCAGGCGCTTGGCACCTGACTCGTATTTATGACGGTCGCAGAGTTCCGGGGTCAAGGCGATCCCCTTTTGCGACCTTCTGACCAGCAAAGTCAACAGGGAAAGCCAGATTCGCTTAACAACTGCATTACTAACTTAACTGCGGCAAGAAAGATCATAAACACAGGGCAAGATTCATTTAACAACTGTCTTGCTTAACAACAGAAATGTTGAGCGCAAATTGTGGTCGTAAGGCGAGCACTGCATATGCTCCAAAGTCAAGGGAGAAGCCAGGTTCACTTAAAACCCTACTACTAACTTAACAACTGCAGTGATTCACTTAACAAGCGTGGCAAAGAAGGTCATAAAATGGAGCAAGACTCACTTAAGGACTGTTTCACTTAGCAACAGAAAATTGGGGCATAATTGTGGTCGTAAACTGAGGATTACCTGTAATTTTAATGTTCCTGTCATGATATGTAATGGCTTCAATTTCTTGAAGAAAAGTGCTTTTACTCTTATTTTTTGGTAATTTAGCCAAGTTTGGGAAGCACTGCTCTAACTGCTGCACCACGCTACTTTTAGCTACTGGGGGCTGCTCGAGCCATACACCCGCTTTCCGTCAGGACAAAATTCCTGCAAAATGAAAAACAGACACTCACATAACGCCCTACCTCCTCCTTGTCCTGTAGCTTGGCCTTCACCCCGCTGCCTTCGCTCCGTTCTTCGCCTTGGATGCTCTCTGGAGGAGACGCAGAATTGCTCTGCAGGTTGCGGAGAAGAGATGGAGGCAAATGAACGAACGGAAAGAATCGGTGGGAAAGCCCAAGTCCATTTCTGGCGTTTCAAATCAGGGGGTCTCCAACCGTGGCAAACTTTAAGGCTTGTGGACTTCAACCCCCAGAATTCTCCTCGGTGTGGCGGGCTGAGGAATTCTGGGAGTTGAAGTCCACGAGTCGCAAAGCTCACAAGGTTGGAGATCTCCTGCTCCAAACTGTAAGACGGTGGCTATTATTTAATTACAAGTAGGATTACTTCTTCCCTAGCCCAGTGTGCTGGCTGGGGAATTCAGGGAATGGCTTTTGTAAAAATACAAAATAGAATTTTTCAACCTTGGCCACTTTAAGATGGATGGACTTCAACTCCCTATGTTGGTTGGGGAATTCTGGGAGTTGAAGTCCACCCGTCTTAAAGTGGCCAAGGTTGAGAAACACCGTTCTAGGTTCTTCAATCCACAGCCTTCTCCACCTGGTTGAATTACAACCGAAGGAACTTCAAACAGCTCAGTCATCGTTGGCATGGGCTGGGAATCCTGGGATCTGTAGTCTATCTTCACCAGCCTACAGACTGTGATCACAGTCCCTTCCCTCAGTCTGCATCTCCTACTGGTATTATAAAAGGGATTTTTTTTTTTTTGTAATTTTCTGACTCAAGGTGTAAGCCATTCAGAATCATTCAGGGGACAGTCAGTAGCTCTGAAAACCAATATTGACCAGTGAGAATATAAAGTTAAAGCAGAATGATACAAAACCTCATTGTAAACCAGTATTTTAGGCCGTCCAGAGTTGTCCTCTGATAAGACGGACGGCCAATAAATGTAATAAATAATAATAAATAAAACCTGGTCAGGTTTTCCCCTCCCTCACAGATTGTGGGTTTGCAGTCTGTGCGTTTGGGTGTGTGTATGTTTTGCAGAACCAGACGCTCAAAATTTGGTTCCTTTTTCCAAGCAGATGAGAGTTGGAAAAAAAAACCAGGACGGATTGTCTGAGGTTCCTCTATATTGTTATTTATTAAAATTATTATTCATCTCGCATTTATTATCTCCCCATTATTACTTTATAAGTAACACAAGGCAACGTATATAACTCAAGGCAACATACATACCTAATATTCCTTCCTCCCCTCATTTTCCCACAACAACAATCCTGTGAGGTGGGTTTGACTGAGAGAACGTGAGTCACCCGAAGTCACCCAGCTGAGCTTTTTGCCCAAAACAGGACTAGAACTCACTGTCTCCTGGTGAATTGGCCCAAAGTCACCCAGCCAGCTTTCATCCCTAAGACAGAACTAGAACTCACTGTCTCCTAGTGATTGGCCCACCCAGCCGGCTTTCATGCCTAAGGTGGGACTAGAACTCACAGTCTCCTAATAATTGGCTCAAAGCCACCCAGCCAGCTTCCTTGCCTAAGGTGGGACTAGAATTCACTATCTCCTGGTGGACACCTAGCTGGCTTTCATGCCTAAGGTGGAACTAGAACTCACTATCTCCTGGTGGACAC